TTTTTTCGGTTGTTCTCTTTGTAAGTTCAGTGGGATACTTACTGCTGTTTTTTGAAACCTAAGTCCCTTTTGGTGACTTCCAAAGTTTTAGGCATAGATGAAGGATTTTTTTTATGAATAATATAATAGCTTATTTGTATATCATTTTGTGCATTTTCCCATCTCAGTTGTAATCCCCTAGGGCTTCCCATCACCAAATCACCCATGTGTCATCACCATAGTCCAGTGCATTTCCCTCCCCACATTGTTTCTGATTCCATTCCCCACTCCACCCCCACAAAATGTCTCTGGTATAAAGCTGTTCATTATTAGCAGTGTTTTCTTGCCTGGTCCGTTATACTCCTGCTATGAGTAAAACCATCCGGTATTTTTCCTTTTCTTTCTGGCTTATTTCACTAAACATCATATTTTCCAGCTCCATCCATGTTGTTACAAAAGGCATGTTTTTTGTTTTGTTTGTTTTGTTTTGTTTTTTTGGGGGGTTGCTGAATAATATTCCACTGTGTATATGTGCCACATCTTTTTAATCCAGTCATCTACTTTTGGGCATTTGGGCTGTTTCCATGTCTTTCCAATTGTAAATAAAGAAGCAATAAACATGGAGGTGCAGATATGTTTTTGAATCAGTGTTTTAGTGTTTTGGGGGTAGATACCTAGGAGTGGAATTGCTGGGTTAAATATGGAAGCAGTTTGGGGAACCTCCAAACAGTTTTCCATACTGATTGTACTATCTTGGCTATTTTTTAACAGCTAGTGTTTTCAAGATAAATCCCAGGCTTCCCTCAGGAGAGAAAAAAAAAAAAAGTAAGCTTGAGGACCTTTCCTGGTGGTGCAGAGGGTTAAAACACATCACTAAGAAGCTAAAGCCACTTCAGCATGAGTTCGATCCCCACCTGGAGATGATCCACATGGTGCTGCAGACCTCTCCTGACCCACCTGCTGTTCCCCTCAGCAGTGTACTTCATCAGTTGGCCTCTTCTGCTCCCCACTCTATCTCTGGTGAATCCTCTCACAGCCCCTGAACCTCTGGCCTGTACCCTAGATCTGCATGCATAAATAAATAAATCTTTTAAAAAAAAAAAAGTATGCTGGAAATGTAAAATTTAGGGAAAAAAAATGTTTGAACATCTAGGAAGGTGAAACATCTCTAGGATGATCATAGGAAAGCAGGAGAGCAAATTTCTGTCAAAGAGGAAAATTAGGTGATAAAGAGGTTATTCATTAAGAGAGTGGAAATAAGAGCTTTCAAGATATTTGGACGGCAGTCGCTACTTAGTAAAGCAGATCGAGTACCTGCCAGAAAGTTTTTCAGTGAAATCATTCATTGGTTATTTTAATTAAAAATATGACTACCAACCAAAGAACCTGCAGCTGTGGGCTATAAATGAAGTACTTACAGTGCATTACACTGATTAATAAAAGGACTCTGATTAACCTTGCTGACTAGGGAATTTCATACTGAAGAGATAAGTATGATATTCTGCCCATATCATTAATGAGCCAAAGCTCATATATCTCAAAAAGAATCAAAATGTATAGCTGGAAAAATCTTTGGAAACATGCTTAAGGATGTTCATGTTTCCAGTACGGAGATGACCAGTGAGAATAACTATGAGTAGATTTTTGAGTTTCCTTAGAGACCCTGCTTTCAATCCATACTTGGTCATAATAAACCTTATAGCACTGACACCCTTCACTATTCAACTATCTATTGCATTTGGCGATTAAACTTTTCATCATATTATTTCCTTTTGAAAGTGGTACTCATGTAGCTGCAGTATTGCTTACTGGCTTTGCTTTCAAGACCCGTAAAGACCCTTAACTCTGCCCTTCTCCAGGTCATATCTCAAATGCTAATCAGCATGCTTTTTAGGTTTGCTTTCCAAAATAGAAAAGAACGTTGTTTTAATTATGAAAATGTGATTTCATGTGAAGCTTTAGTTACGAAATTTCAAATGACTTGAAAAAATAAACTGAGATTAGTCTTTAACACTAAGAATTGTTATTAAGTACTGGGGGTAGGTAGGACCCATACATTGAACATGAGCTCTGGAAGAAAGAGGCTTCTAAATCAGTGTTTTCTGTCACAAGATTAAGAGAAGCTTCGCCAGGTGATGGACACTTTGCCTCTGGAAGAAGCAAAAATGCATTCCATGACACTGTGTTCTGCCTTCCTCACAAAATTCATGTTTTTAAATTTATGTTGAGGGTTAACTTTTGATTCTTCATGTCATAATAAGATTGTGGATTTGGGGGAATAATGTCTAGATCCCAAGTTGATATCCTCATCAAAAGAGTTCTGAGTTGCCTTTCCAAAACATAGAAGCTGACTTTCATACTAATTTACACATATTTATTTAGGGGGGGAAATAGTTCACTTTTTGAAATACTATGAGAAATGACATGGTATGTCCTAAAAGGAACTAAACTGGCTTGGGATTTATTGTAGCACTATTAAGTCTTCTGCAGGACAATCCACTGTTGAATATAGTTATTAACTGTGCGAGAAATTTTCGAACAAGTATGATGTTATAGCTTTTACACACTGTCTTGTTTATTAAGCCAAAAATAGCAATAATCTGAAGATTACACACTCAAAAAAAAAAAAAAACAACTATGTGACATTCTCTTTCTATATCCAGATGTTGGTTGCATAGGTTTTGCTTATTTTTTTGGAAATTAAGCAAATTTCACACTTATGATTTGTATACATTTTTGTACAGAAATTTTCAAAAGTGTTTAAAAATATTTAAAAAGTAGTGTGTAGCAGTTGAATAGTATTCAATATCTAAACAGTCTGCTGTGATTTAGAATAGTCTTATAAAGTTTAATTGAGTCACCTATCTTTCAAGGCCACACAGAAATGGGCCTCCTTCTTTAGAATTTTTCAGAAAGGGGCCACCACTAACTAACTACACTAACTAAGCAATGCACAGCCTGTTCAGGTTTACTTTCTCTGTGATTTAAGAAACTGATCAAACCTCTTATAGCTACTTCACTTGGCTAGCAACTAGGACTCTCTATTTCCATTCCAATGAAATAGCAAAAGATTTGATCACTAAAATGGAAGAGACAAAAAAAAAAAAAAGATCCTGAAGAAACTTTGAAGACAAATGATACTTTAATTTGGGTTAAGATGCAAAAGACATATTCAAACTAAATGTGTGAAAGTAGTTTTTCTATACACACTAATGTATGCACATGTACATGCACAAACACGCAGAGAATTTCCTAAAGATATGACCACATGTGCTATTATTTCTGTGTCTACATCCACCTGGCATGCTTAAGAATGGAACTGTTCTCCTCTCCCAGAGGGTGCAATTTGCTGTCTCCCTAACTGAAAGCCACATTGTACTGTCCTAATACTATAAAAACAGCCATTAGCGTGAATGAAAATTTAGCTCTATGAGGACCATACCATCAGCTCAGATTGACAGAGAGAATTTAAAATGCATTTTCTTCTCATTCAGGGGTGATGACACTATTGAAAGCAAGAGAAAGAACGCCGTTCTTCCTGGAAGCCTACCCCTAAGACTTTTTTCTCACGTCCCCAGAACCTCCCTGTGATCTATTTAATTTGCCATGCTCAAAAGGCAGTCTTCAAAACTCAGGGCAAATAAATTACTTGCTAACTTAGATCTAAGTTATTTTACATTAGGCACAGATATAAATTTGACAAATACCTTTAAAATGTACTTAGCAGTCAGGACAGTCTTTCACTTAAATTCTTAAGATGAAAGTAATCTAATTAGATAGTGCACACCTTCTTTTTAACAGAGCCCCATCAACCACTTTTTAAAAAACAGACCTTTTCTTTATCTTGCAGTCAAAATAGCAATGCCAATTTACTATAAAGCCCTTAAGTAAAACATCATAAACACTGTAGCTGGCCTCAATATTCAGTCCTACCTTCAGCACTGACAAACAGAGGATAGTAAATTCGTGCAGAAATTAACAGTAGTATCTGCAAATAGATGATGTTGATGATTTATATATGAATGGAAAGTATTTTTAAACATGAAAAAGGATTACTATTTCTCAGTGCTACACACAAGACCTTATCATCTATTATGTTTAGACAGAAGTGATATTGAACATGGTGTTTGTTTGCAGTCCCCTCACCAGATGGCCTCGCTACTCAAGTTCTCCCTTTAACTAGCTGATTTAGGAAATCAGAATTAGCGCGCTTCTAGTTTATTTCTGAGTTATTAAGCACAGAGTCCAGAAAATCCCTTGATGAAAAATTCCATTGTAGTTTTTATTGCCCTTAATTTTTTATAAGGCAAATGTTTGGTGTTAAGCATATCTACAATTTGGGTCTGTTAAAGTAGTTATGGAAGAAAGTTAACTTTTTGACTTTTCTGTGTTCAGCTTTTGAACTGACCTGGGCAGAAAACTCCTTAAAAATATGAGGACCATAAGGTGCATCGGCACAAACTTGCCCATCCATCAACCCTCCAAATGGAGACAAAATCCTTTTTCACCCAGGTGAACATACACTTGATGTCTTTAAGTGGCTGTTATTAACAGAGAATTAGCAACCTGTCCCCAGGTCAGCCACACAGTCAGCATTAGATCAGATCTCAGTAGTCTGTTTAATTAGAATCTGGAGATATTTTTCTTTATTCTTTGTTGCCATAAGCAGAATAAAACTACATTAGATATGATTTGTCTGAGAATTCAAAGTCCAGGCATGGGATAGAGAAAGAAAAGGACAGAAAAGAAAATAAATATATATATACACAGACATACACACACCTACACACACACACATATATAACTATATATACATATATATGTACACACATATATACACACATAAATAACACACATATATGATGTGGTCTAGTTTAAAAAGAAAAAAATAAAATAGAAATTGCTTTCAAATACATACTTAAAGAAACACTAAGAACCACTGGATTAGAATGGGTGACTGACACTACATTTTTTAAAAACACATTTCCTATCAATGATACAATCATGTCTATATTTTTTACCTTGTTTATAAGATGCCAAAACCATATTCTCATCTTCAACTTCAAAAACTGTGTCCACATCTATTTGCCTTTGGATTAAAATGGCCTTCAATTTTCCGAAGTCATTTGACTTTAGAGCTTCAAGGAAATTTTTCTTAACTAACTTGGCAGCTGCAGATTTGGTGAGGGGGGCTGCGGTGCTTTCCATCCTTCCTCTCCCTCTGGAAGCTTTGTTGTGACTTATCAGGAAAGCGGCACCAAGCAAACAGGCACATGCTGGAGAGCCCGCAAACTGTCGGCTAATTTTATCCCGAAGTTATGCTGATCCGTTCTATTTATATAGGGATCATTTCAAACTTCAAAATATCCTTCTTGGCTGTCACTGCATTTTCAGGTCTTTTAAACTGCTTCTATACTAACTGATTTATGGAATAATATATCGTGTCAATATAAAGGAAAATACCATTGCAATTTATTTCACAGAATGAAATGTCACTGTTATTATTTCTTATGTGATCAAAGTAATAATGTAAGATTTAAAAGCTTTTAATGCTTTCTTTTTCCCTCAGTAAAAACATCTGGTGTCCAACTGGAGATTCAGTTTTGCTCTGCTGAACAAATAGCAACAATGAAAATTTACTATAGTTGCTAATACATACACTTCTGAAAACCTGTAATTTTGTGCCATGAGCCTGCAAAATTAAGCATAATGGTACACATTTAAAAACAAACTTTTTAAAGTAGTTTAGATGTGAAAAATGTCAATGTCATGAAAGGAAGGGGTTTGGGGTGTTGGTGGCAGAGGACTCTTAAGTAAAAAGAGACAAAAAGCTAAGTGGATGGATGGTCTTTATTAAACCCCATTAAAAAAAAATCACTTAGAAAAGACAATACGGGACAAATGTGGAAATAAGAGTTTGAGTTAGAGATTTTTTTGATAATAAAAAATTAGCATTAACTTTTAAGGAGTAATAAAACTGTGGCTACAGAGAAGAATATTTTTATTCATAAGTGATGTATTAAATGGTATATTGTCATGATGCCTATAACTTCTGGTCAAATAATTTGGAGATAAAAATATAATCATATACTTGTATCTGTTCCTATATGGATGTGTGTGCGTGCAAAAAGAAACTAAGAAAGCAAAGGTGGAAAAAGTTGATAGTTGGTAAATTTAATGAAGACTATATGAGTTTCCACTGTATTATTCTAACCATTGTTCTATAAGTTTGAAACTTCTCAAGTAAAAATTAGAGAGAAAAACATACTCAATTTTAAAATGTGTAATCATTAGCAATTAGAAAAGCAATAGTAGCGAGTGTTAACTAAGAACAAAGTGTGAGTTCTAACTGGAGCAAATTTTCTATCATTAGCAACCTGTATTTTTAAAAACTTTAGCTGATGACAGTATTTGATTTTCAGAATTTACCTGAGAATGTAAAGAAAGATATAAAATGTAACTTTTTTCATTGATGTGTAACATAAATACCAGAAAATAGCAAGCTATAAATACAAATTTGCCAATTTTTCACAAAGTAAACACAGTTATACAACCTATACCTAGGTCAAGGTACAGAAAACGTGAGCACACTGGAAGCTCCCTGATGGTCCCTTCCAATCAAAACACTCACCTGCCCTCAACACAACAATTATATTGGTGTCTAATACTGTAGATTGGTTTTGGTGTTTTTATTTAAATTTTGATTTTTTTGATGTTTAAAGTTTATTTGAATATTTTTAATTTTTAAACCTTCAAGAAGAAAAAAATATCAAGGCTAATGTATTAAATATTTGTCCTGGAAAAGATGGATAAATAAGTTAAAGCATACATTTGGATGATTAAACTGTAATAATAGCAAAAAAACTGAAAGCAACCTAAATGACCAACAGTAGAAAATTAGAAACAAATTATGACATATCCATATAATAGAACACTCTTCAGTCATGACTAGATAGATTGGTGGGTTTTTTTTTTAAGACTTTTATTTATTTATGCATACAGAACTGGGATACAGGCCAGAGGTGTAGGGGCAGTGAGAGGATTCACCAGAGACAAAGTGGGGAGCAGAAGAGGCCGACCGACAAAGTACATTGCTGAGGGGAGCAGTGGGTGGGTCAATAGAGATCTGCCACACCATGTGGGTCACCTTTGGGGCAAGCATCAAACTCATGCTGAGGTGGCTTTAGCTTCTTAGTGCTGTGCTTTAACCTGCTAAGCCACCAGGGAGGGCCTAATTATGAGAAACATTTTTTCATCATTTAGGTTGACAGCAACTATGTATAAAATGAACAATAAAATAAAGTGTTTACTGTTTTGAGGAAGATAATTTTGTGATTCAATTTTATAATGACATGAAGCAACATCCTTTAGTTATCAAATGACTTTTGGCAAATTAATATAAAAGGATCACATTTACAAAAATATTCAAGAACTTCATTAGTTTTGTTAAGGACCTCTCTTCATTCTTGGACATTCCAGTGACATTCTAACTCAATGACTGGAGTTCCCATTGAAACACTTACCAAATCCTCATCTTTTTTTTCAAGCTGTTCTTATTCAATTATTAACAGAAATAACTGCCAAAATCTCATTAGTAAATTGTTTTGTATGTGACTTGGGCAGTTTGCCAAAATTTTCATCAACTTCATGAAATCTTACTTCATTTGCAGAATGTGCAATTTCATATTACAGTGAACCTCAGAGAATCATAGTGAGATACAGACTTCATAGTCAAAGATATCCCATCATTATTTGAGTTTTCCATCTTGTGATCTTAAAGACCAAGATAACAAATAATCAGCCATTAGGCCCCATCATCCTGAATGGTGATAATGTTTTATATCTAACCCTCCATTCTAAAGTTCTGCTTTCAGGAAAATACATGTGAGTTAAGGGCAAGGATGGAAAATACTAATGAATAATGAGAAGAAAACATAGAACAATAGATACATAAATCTCACATTTTGGTTCACAAAGCAATTCACTCCATTATTAGAAAATCTGAGTCAGAAGTTTCTTTGTTACATTGAGCCAAGACTTGTCTATCCATAATTTCTTCCCATCGGTTTTAATCATGAACATGCCATCATACATTTATTCTAGAGTCATCCTCAATGAAGGTCTTTTTTTTTTTTTTAAAGATTTATTTATTTATTCATACAGAACTGGGGTATAGGCCAGAGATGCGGAGAGTGAGAGGATTCACCAGGGACAGAGCGGGAAGCAGAACAGGCAGATCGACGAAGTACACTGCTGAGTGGAGCAGCGGGCGGTCAGGAGAGGTCTGCTGCGCCATGTGGTCACCTCCGGGGCAGGCAGGGATCGAACTCATGAGGAAGTGGCTTAAGCTTCTTAGTGCAGTGCTTTAACCCGCTGCACCACCAGGGAGGGCCTGGTCTTTTTAACATTTAAAAATAACACCCAGTCTCCCATTAAAACTTTGTTCTTCAATTATTATCATCTATTCTTTATTTTAGGTGATTAAAGAATTACTTTTCCCTGCCTGGTTTTTTTTTTTTTCCTGGATTTTCTCTAATTTACTGATGAAGGCCTCTCTTAAATTTTTATGCTTAAAATGGAACATCATATTCCCAGAGGGAGGTAATGAGTACAGATTAGGATAGATGACCCTAGGGAAGCCCTACCCTTGTTAAAATTATTTTTGAACTTGGGCCCTCCCTGGTGGCACAACAGGTTAAAGCACAACACTATGAAGATATCTCAGCCATTGTAGCACCGAGTTCAATCCTCAGCCAGGAGGGTGGCCCACATGGCATGGCAGACCTCTCCTGTCTCGCCTGCTGCTCCCCTTAGCAATGTATTTCAATCAATCTGCCTGTTCTGCTCCCCACTCTGTCTCTGGTGAATCCTCTCACCACTACCACCCTCCACCCCCAGCCCGCACCTCTAGCCTTTACCCCAGTTCTGTATGTATAAATAAACAAATAAATAATTGTATTGGAACTCTCAGGAGGCACTGGCAAATCTGATTCATGTTAAATATTGCTGCAATTTCTTCAACAAATACCTGTCCAGGCACCTCCATTTATCAAATATTTACTTTTGAGTACTGGAGAAGGAAAGCAGAGAACAAATAGAGTTAAGCTATTTGGATTTAAGTGTTGATGAAAGACTCTGTATCTTTCCCATTACTGTATACTAGAATTTGTTACAAAGTTGCAAATTCACTGAATTCCATACAGAAATAATATCTCTTCTTATATTCAATTAACTGTGTGATCTCCCTTATGGGTTTTCCTGCTAAGTTAATGGTGAAGGGAAGAGCAACTTAATTTACTCCAATCTAGTATGTTTAGTCTGATTCATCTTGGCACTGTGGAAGAAACTTTATTATCTGAATCCTTTGGGCATGGCTCCTTGACACACAAAAGGAGAAGATAAAGTGATTTAGAGAAATCTTCATTTTTTTAATGCCTAATTTTCACAACTACCATCTTTCTACAAGTTAGCATTGAGACTTAAACCCAATCACAAGTCAATTACCCCTAGGGTGCTCTCACACTTTCTTTTTTTCTCAAGACTCAACCCTGAAGGCTGAATGGTACAAAAGAACACAATTTAAAAACAAAGTAAAAAAGCACTGATTTGATGTTTGCAAATAAAATTCTAACCTACAGAAAGGACTTGTACTTTTCCCACAGAAGTTATTTGTCCTATTCGATAACTGTAAAAAGAAATAACTGTGTGAATTAATTTGAGAAAACAGAAAATTTCCATGAAGAAATGTTTGAAATTGAAAAGCTATTTGTATTATTCTGTTAAAAATCAACTCAACTAACTTATCTGAGCAGCAGAGGATAAAACTAAGAGGTTATTATTTGCAGTTACAAAACAAATAACAGTTTAATTAAATTGCCTATCAAAACCATTCTAACATATAGGAAGTAGTGTGACCAGTGTTAATAAAACAGATTTGAGACCTGTCTGTATTATCTAGGATTCTGCTTCAAGTCACCATTTCTCCAGGCTCAAGAGGCCAAATTACACAGTGGCCATGTTTCACACTCTCTATTCAGGCCTGTCAGAAAGTCCTACCTTCTCAAGCATTTAAAAATGAAACTTTGCTTTCTCTAAAATGAGTTTTTTATTAGTGTTTCATGACATGCCCAGTACAGTGTCCTCTGCTCTTGGAACAAAATGAAGAGCTTCCTGACAAGGTGATGATATAGTGGCAAGTGGCCTGTAAGACCCCCTCGTACTCTCTGGGGACCCCGGGAGGAGGCGACAGACATTGTTTTCTTGATGTTCTATG